TCAGACTGACTAAACTAAGAATCTGTGCAGCTAATCTGTTTAAATATGCCGCTGTGCGAAACACTCTTATATATAAACATTTATTAGTTATAACGTCTAATTTAGAGATATAAAGAAAATGACTGTAATGGCTGACACACTGCGTTTCATAATATTCATAACTGTCCAGTGAGGAGTATTCACTGGTATTTACGGTCAGTGCGTTGGTTTCAGTGTGGCAACAAAGAAGAGCCATTCTTCACCCCCCCCCCTTCCATCCCCTTGTTGTTAGCCATTTTGTCTGTTTTAGCCCCATGAAGCAGAAATGATTCACCAGCTCATCAGCAGACCGGGCTTAACTCAGATTTTCCTTTAGTACATCTATAGTGGGTGGATATGTTTGAATGACATCTTTTATCTTGCTTTTTGGCCCCAGATGATGTGAGTAGGCTCTGTAAGGGCAGCATGCTATGGACCACATTAAGTCTTCTTCTGAATGAAGACAGCTTTGTTGTCTCTGAGCATAATCTCAAGGAGGAATACTGAAATATGCTCAAGTCGACTCAAAGCCCTTTTTCAATCTTCATTGTTTCTGTTTCCACTCCAATGTGCCCATCTTCTTCTTCAGCTATCTCAAGTCTGGCCAGTCAGTCTCTCCATGATTTTCATCTGTGGCCTCATGTGAGCAGCTGTGCCCTTGGACTGCCTGCATGTCGGGGAAACAGCTGTGGGGATTCACGATACCTTAACTAATTCCACATTGTGCCCTGAGGAAAGCAAGCCATGTGAGATCATGGTTTAAGGTGTGTCCAATTTAGCAGGGTTCCGAGCTCCAAGCCGCGCACTGTCAGAATACATACGAAAGAAGACTTGCACGTCTTGATGCATTTATAAAGACAAAAATAGAAACTAGAATGGCACTCAGAAGAGTTCATACTTTCACCAAGGCCCAACGGTCCCCTTATGAAACCACATTTAAATTCACAAGATCTGGATCTTGCACACACACACATAAGTATTTGCTAAATACTTTTTATCAAGATCCATGAGTTATTCTTTGAGAAATCACCAAAATGCCCTGACATTTAAAGGTATCTTCCTTGGTTCATGCCCCACCCCTCCACAAAATACCCTGAATATCGGTTCAATAGTTTCTGCACAATCCTGCAAACTAACAAACAAACAAACTAGAAGGGTGCTCTCATAATGACGCAACAGATCTCTCACTTTGTATTTTGCTCATATAGCTTTGCGCAGCGCTGTTGTCCCTAAAGTTGTTAGCATCCACGCAGACAGTCAGACCTCATAGTTTCAGCAGCAGTTATGCAAGTGTCATGCAATACAGTTCACTCTCTCTCTCCCTCGAGAATCTGTCTATTACTCTGTATTCTGTGTACCTGTCACTCAGAATTGGTTGTGAAAGTGGTGTTCAGGGTGCGTGTGACTCCCTTCTATCTCTCTATATTGAATGTATACTGTTGCAAACCAAGACATTTATTTGAATTTATTTATTAAAAATCTGGAACCAAATTATTATTTCCTGATCCGTACTGCATCCTTCCACCAAGGTTTGTGGTGTCCGTCCTGTCGTGTTGGCATGATATGACCAAACTAAAACACAATCTCCTTGGCGAAGGTAAATACTGTTTCAATTGAGGTTCTGGTTGTAGTAAAAAATGTTTCTTGACATGAATTTGTAACTGAGCCAGAAAAATAAGGAATGATACGAGAAAAACAAGAAATACAAGGTCACGAGAAAAGCTTCACATATGAGTGCATTTGAAAAAGTGAGCGGCTGCAGCTCCAAATATAACATATATTGGCTCCAAATATAAGAAGCCACAAATAAGACTGGGAACATGTGTCTTTGCCCACACCCCAGCAGCTTATGGAAGAGTGTGGTTTACTTAAAACAGTCAGACCACAGAGTGATTTAGGTAGTCTGCTGCTCGCCGCTGCCAGGGAGGGTGGCCGCGCTCCCAGATTACAAAATACTTATGAAATATGACTGCGAGTAACACCAAGAGGGTGTGTGTGTGTGTTTTTGTGTACGATGTGGCTGAATGCTAGTTTTTTTCCCCACAAAAGGAAAATTTCATTATGCAGGACAGGGGTGGAAACTTCACTCTCATGGAATCATGCATTGGAATCTATCATATGTTTGAATTCTCACCTCTAATTAAAATCTTCAAAACTCAGCAGATCTTTCCTGAATGCCAAAGTAGTGACTCTGTGAAAAAAAAAAAAGAAAGTCTGGAAATTCACTCCCCTTTTTTTTAATGATTCCAACCACTGGAATAAAGGCAGCTGACATCATCTCTAAACTCCTGAACCAAAACTGATGGGAAATTCCATTGTGTCATATATTCACAGCACTTTTTTATTTTCACAGTGAATCTCTCTGAGTATTGGGCATGACAAGTGAGTGCTTTATAGAATATTGGTTTCAAGTCCACTAGACGCAAGATTTCCTCAAAGAAACAAAACAGACTGTCCGGACTCATCACAGAGACAGAGGAGATAGAATGTTTGGCCTGCAGAAGGCTTCCCATGACCTCTACATATGGTCAAGGCAATTTCTCAGTAAAAAAAAAAAAAAAAAAAAAAACTAGAGCAGGAAATGAGGAGAGTTCAAAGGTTGAAACGTCTGCAACAACTGTGACTTTGCTGTGTTTGGATGGGGTGAAAGGAATGTGTTAAAATTTTGTGTGTGCAGATGCATTCATATTTACAAAGGTGGCATTATGCTCGTGCCTCAGTGAACTTGGTGAGGTCCTTGCATGTGATTGTTGTTGACACTCAGAGAGAAGGTATTGATTCTGGTACGATGAGTACACTGAAAGAAAACAGACAATTTCTGGGCCTTCCTTAATACTTAGGAATTTTTTATTTTTAAATTTGACTCAGTTTTACAGAGCGGGGCAAATTTTGCCTTTTGCTTTCAGGCTCCACATGTTTGGAATGAGCTGCAAGAAGTCTTAAACTTATTGAATCATTACCCTCTCTTGGCCCATTAGAAAATCTTTCAAAGTAACTTTTCGTGGAACATGTGCTTTATATTTTCCATAATTCATTTTACCCACTGATTGCTATATGTTTCTATGTATGTTATCTGATTTTAATCTGTTTGCTGTGTTTTTGTGTGTTTATTTTGTCCCTTATATTTATATTTGAAACATCATCATGGAGGTTATGTGTTTTCATCTTCGTTTGTTTGTTTGTTTGTGAGCATGATAATGCAAACACCAATAAACCGATGACATTTTGTGGAGGGGTGGAGCAAGACCCAAGCAGGAACCCACTAAATGTTGGATTTTTTTTTTCTCCTTTAACTTTACATGAGCATTTTTCAACATTTTGATTTGTCAGAGAACGACCTGTGGATCGTGATGAGAAGAACCCAGCATGTTTACGGGACTGATATTTATGAGTGTGTGCAATTTGGTGCAGATCTAAATAAAATCTCTGGATCTGGTGAATTCAAATATGGTTTCCTTAGGGAACTGTTTGGCCAAGATAAGATTCTAGTTTACTTCAGTGCTGCCCATACTGACAAGTGACCTTCCTGTTCAAATAAAGGATAGATGGATACAAAATAAAAAAGCATTTTTATGCCTCTAACAGTATAAAAGGCTCCTGGACTCACATGCTCCCATTAGTTCTTCTTGATTTCCCCTCTGATAAAATAAACAGAGAGTTTGCTGATCCATATGACAGATATACTGTACATACCTCAGAGCTGAGCTCCGTGGATGGGGCCGGGATCCATGATCATCCATGACGAAACTCATTGGTTTAACAAAATCCCTCGGACTAAAAACACATACAAACACAAAGCACAGGTCATTTCCAGCAGCAGCAGCAGCTCACATATGAAATCGTCTACATGTTAGTCTGAGCTGATGCAAACACAAACACTGAAATGTGGGCGAATCCCTCATGAGTTCATCTTCTCTAGTCTCCACATTAACAGATTTTCTTTCTCCTTCTCACTGGATACCAAATGATTCGCGTCTTACCATGAATGCAGTTGGTTGTCGATGCAGTTGTCCACTTCCATCAGTGTTCAAACAGGGAGGGTGAGTTGTGGAGCCTTTGCGCAAACATTGCGTTTGGATAAATGATCCATATTTCCGTTTAAGTCCTCTGTCTTTGCGCCTTTACGCAGCGCATTCCAGTGTAGTTTGTCTCTTTTTGTTTGTGTTCCTCCTGACTTTAACCCCCGGAGTCGAACACATCTAAATCATTTCCCTCCTCACATGATCCTACACAACTTTTCCCCTCGGTGCATCCGAGACAGTGATCAGGAGAAGTGGGGGCGTCTCTCTCTGTGTGATCCACTCAGTTTACCTTCCCTCCGGAGGATCCTGAGGAAACTGCATCGAGCCCACGTTCAGGTAACACAACTGTGTCTCGACTGATAAAAAGCTCGTTGGTTTATTCTGGAAAAAAGCTGCACACAAACACACCAGCGCTTCTTGTTGTTTTCAACTTCCTTTAAACAAGTGTTTCATTTGTCTGCAGTGACATCGTGTGGTAAAACATGGAAACTACAAGCCCCACACCCCCATTATAAATAACAACACATAATACAGAAAAGTACAAATGAAATATTTCAACATAGAATTAAAAATCTTAGATCAGTGGATGGAGCTGATGTAAGATTTTGGATATTTGGATATAGTCCTTTGATTGTTCCCTAGAGCCCGATTGATGACTAAAGGCCATCGAGCGATTGCAGTACAGGCCCCTAAACTCTGGAATGACTTTCAAGCTGAGATCAGAAATGCTACATCAAATAAAATCTAATGTATGGCCCATATTAACAAATCACAATTTGTCTTATAGAACCTAAAACAGTGTGACATCCTCTGTCCTTAATACTCAAGAAGATATAGTAAAAACTACAACACAGATTATTTATTACAAAAAACTACAAAAGAAATATGTAGATTTACAGTAAATATATAAATGTTTATATTGTCACTATTATTATTATTATTATAATACTCTGACTCGTGAATAGCATGTCCCTTTCCAAAAGCATTAACATACGTCTCCTTGGAAGGTTTTCCACAATCTTTTGGAATTTTGCTACAGTCACTGGATTATCTGTGAATTTGTGTCTTCCCCAACATAGATTGGCCACCTCAAAGGTGTTTGATGGTGGCTGAGGACAAGGGTCTGTGTAGGAAAGTAATAACTTTATAATACAGACTGCTGCCACAACACTGGAAGCACAATGTTGTCAAAAATATAGCTGTAATCTGTAGCATTAAGATTTCCCTTCATAGTAACAAAGCCCAAATTCATCGGAGGACATTCCTGTCATACTGGTGGTGCAGTGCCAGAGATGTTGGCGTCCGCACAGTAGAACATCTCCACGCCGTGCGAACAGTCTTGTGGGTTGAGGCCGGTCATGGTCAACCCGGTGATCATGACGAACAAGCCGACTGCTATCAAGATGGTGGCGATCAAGTTTTCACCCTGGAACCAGCGGCGAGAGGAGAGTTTGAGGATGCACGCTGACGGAATGATGAAGATCAAGGGTGTGGCACTCAGAGCACCCTGTGTAATTAAAAAAAAGGAATAAAATGAAATTGATGAATGAAAACATGTCAATAGATGCACATGGTTGAGTAGATCTGACTTACATTCAGCTCCAAAACTACTCCGAGACAGTCATATGCCAAAGATATTGATGCGCAAACTGCAACTATGAGAATGGTTATGACCACATGTTCAACTTTTGAAAGGTCCCGACTGAAAATGACGTTGGACAACACCTGAGAGGACACACAATCATATGAAAACTAATTAGACCCAGACTGTGCCTGTATATTAATGTATTCTGCATTTTCTGCAACTAGAGAACAGCAACTGTAATTAGCATTGTGTTGGTGAGAAAAACACTCAAAATACCAATGACCATTGCATATGTAACGTTTAAGCAGACGCAAGTATTAGAATCACTTACCTCTCGTGTCACAAAACACTCCAGTGGAAATGTGGTCATTATACTGAGGCCAAAGCAGAAACGACCAAATGTTGCCAGGTTATCATTCCTGCAGTAGTTCTCAAATATGTCTCCTGGAAAATGGAAACATGATATCAAAACAAATTTGTGATATTCCCAAAAAAATATCATGTCACACTTGCACAAGGAATTCTACATTTTGTATCGATACCCTGTGTGTAGCCGGTGAAGGTGGTGTAGCCAGTGACAGCAAACGCAGCACTGATTATAAGCGCAGAACCGACAGAGAGGTGGGTGACTCGAGACCAGTTAGCCAGAGTGGGCTGCTCCAGGGAACCATAGATAAGGAAGCTGTTGTGATGGCATATAAAGGCTGAGGAGACACACAGGACCAGATCATCTGAGCTGTATTAAAAACCTTCAAACACCTTTAAAAACCTTTAAAAATATATATATATCATCCAACTTAGACAAGAGCAACACAGTTTGAAGCAGTTCACAACTTCATACTTTACAATTTAACACTTCCAATCCATTTGGGAATGAAAGACTGTGACAGTCTCTGTCTTACTTCAGGTAAAACAACAGTGTATTTTCCTGAGAGCGTGCATTAACCCATGGGTTCAACTCTTGTGTGAGATTTTGATTAAATATTTACTGTTTTTTTGTTATATCATTGTTTGCTAGGACACCTGGATGCAAATAGCATTGGCCTCAAGCTGCATGAATTGATTTGTAGCCACTAGGGGGCACAAAACCCCCAAAGATTAATATTTTCTCTCATCTCTTACTTTTGTTTTGTCTTGTTTTGGTCCCTTGTATTTTGCGTATTTTTTTTTGTTTATTGTTTATTTTAGTTTGTACTTATTAGTATAATTTTTTCCACTTAAATTAGGTTGTAATGGCTAAAATGATATAAAACAATTGTCTATTCATAATATAGCTGATATACAGCGACATTGTCATCTTATTGGATTCATGTTTTTAGCTCGGTTTCACTCAGGTGAAAGGATTAATCCTCATTTATTGTCTTTGTCTGTTGTTTGTGGATAATCTATCTTGATTTACCCAACTGGTTCTCTATCATTAAATTGCATATACCGGTCATCTTGACAAGTTATTTGTCTGTTGTGCAGATTTGGTAACACAGAACATACAGACTCACCAAAAGACATAACACCAACTGCCTGAATTGCATTCCACTTTGCAAATGCCCATGCATTCTGTGTAGGTAGGCTGGAGAAAGAAAGAAAAGAAACACAATTATGTTTCCATAAAAGCATTTTAGTCAGTATCTATTAAGACAAATTCAATGGTTAACACACAGGGACATTCAAATAAAATCAATTAGCAAATGGCAGATTCATACATTTGGGGTCCAAAGGTAGCTGATCGGATTATTGCAATGATGAGGATGGTAAGTGTCAGCACCATTGACAGGAAGGACACCTGGTAAGACACATATGAGAAGTTTTACAGGCAGTTTTCGAAATCACCAAATTAAACTGACATCATTGATATTTTATCATCAGTCTTACCTTCCCCAGTTTCTCTATGTTTCGATAAAGTGAGAGAGGCATTGTGAACACCAGCGTTGACAGCAAGATCACAAAGTGACGCTCTGCAAGTATGTGACCTGGACCAACTGCAACACATATTAGGCATTCAGATTTGTACTTCATGTTTGATTTAAACAACTTTGTTTATGGCACATATGGTCTCATTTTGCTTTATATATGCGTTGGAATAGACTTTACGTGGCACAACCTACCTCCTGGTATTCTCTGAAATACTTTGGTCATTGTGTCAGCGGTTGTGATGTTGTAACTAACCATAGCTGCAGGAAAACAGAGGTGAAGCATCATTCTGTTGTTCATATTAATCTGAAATCTAAAACAAATGACTTTTCAGGCCACACCGACATTACATGCTACGATATAACGTAACAAAATATTCAACTTGCTATAAACAACTTACCGATGAAAGGATAAAGGAACTGCAGCGCAGATAAAATCAGAAACCCAGGGAAACCAAATGTGCTCTGCACCAGAGACTGATAACTGTTTGTCCCCGACAGGTTCCCTCCTTTGATTAATAAGATGATGGAATAATCTACGATGAAATGCCAACATGATCTTATTGATTTTCTTGATTTGGAGAAAATTCATGTCTCATAATTCTGATTGTACCACCTTCAATAAACTCACCTGTGATGAATGCAACAATGACCAGAAGCAGGAGGCCAAGGGGGAGCCCTGCCTGGTTCAGTGCATATGGTAAACCTGGTTTTAAAAAAGG